GGGGACAGTGTGCTGCGTCAATGCCAAACAGAAGTTGAAGCAAGCAGAGGTATAACAGAACTAAATGAAAATGGACAGGCAAAATGAAGATGCTGAAGCTGTTCTTCCAGACTGATGGCTTTAGGTGTTTAAGTGGCTTCCAATTTCCCTGAAAATATATCTGAGTTACTGTCTTAAAGATATGAAGAAATCACGGAGGTTACATCGGTGGAACTGCAGTGATAACTCTTAGCAACATCGGCATTTTTTTCCTGTTTGCATGACCGCTATCATATCCTCGAGCTTGTAACAGGAACTTCCAACATAAACCACAACAGCTGGTATGTTTTGTCAGCAGTAAATACTGCAGAAGCCTTATAAACTACAGGTTTTCCTAGACTATGACATTCCCACTCAGATGAAAACAGCAGACATGAGCTCACTCCACCTGTACTCTCAGCTGGAGAGAGGTGAGGCACCTTCGGTTCAAAAGTCAGAGAGCTGTGCCAGCACAACACTTGCCTGGACTAACAAGCTCCAATGAGAGGCTAACAAGCCTGCCCCAGCAAAACTCGGTCCTTCAGCCTGCCTGCTGCAGGCTCTCCTCAGAGGGAGGGTAAAGCAATTTCAGAAAAACGATTCAGATTGTCACAGGTCACACGACTTTTTGAATGCTAAGTGCTTCATCAGCTGAAACGAACTACTGAGGAAATAGAGTAAAATTTCAAACTTCAATTCAAAAATACTTTCAGATCCTTAAAAATGAATTCTAACAGGAATCAAGGCATTTTGCTATGATTTAAAGATAAATGGACTCTCACGATTTTTAATTTATTTTCCTGTTCCAGAACTCAGCTATGAGAGATACATGAGCCAACCTTCAGCAGATCAAAGGTACAACCACGGAGATGCCATGGATCATCCTGCCTGTCCTAGCAGCCTTTTCTGCTACTAGAGGGCAATTTTTCCATGCAGTTCAGATAATTTGTGCTACATCTCCTGGACACTGAGGATTTTTTTGGTTGCATTTTGTGTATTGTATTCTCTTCTGATGTGTACACAGTGAATCAGATGTAGACTGGTCTCAACAACACAATATCATGAGGGAGATTTACATTATGGAAGTGGCATTCATCTGCTCTGGTTTCCAGGTCTGAGCTACTAACCCCTGTGCCCATTCTATAGCTGGGGAAGAGAGAGAGACATCATCTACGAGGCCATATATCCCAGCATAATAACAAATAGAGGTGAGAGGAATTGTCCTTTTAATGTCCTTTAAAGGATGTCCAGGTTATCTAGCTCACATTTAATTTTCAGGCATCTAAATTAGGAATCCCTGAGCAGCAACAAAAGCACAGCCCTACTTCAAGATAAGGCATGGAAATGTGTGTTGTATGGTAACTTATCCCTGGTGGACAGCTGATGTTTTTTCACGTTGTTTGCTACACTTTTTCCAACTGATCTGTTTTACTCCTTATCTGCAGGGAGCTTCCTAGACACGAGCTATGTACGTACATAAAATTACATTGGTGCCAGGAGAAAATACCCGCTAACCGAGAATTCAGCACAATGAACTATCTGGGTCATGAGCTTTTTTCTGTTCAGAGGGCATCTAGTACATTAGGATCCTGAACTAAATAAGGAAGTGTACCTGTTATTGTCATGCAAGTAGTTAATGTATAACTAAATGGGCACACACACTGGCTCCCATCACAGAGATGTTATTGGACATGTCCCATTATTTACCTGCTTGATCGCAGTGACTCTGGTTTGACAGATTCATTTACTGAATTAGCTATTTTGGTTTTACTTCCACAATCTGCATGCACACAACTGAAGAAAGAATCAAAGGGCCATACCTGTGGGGCATATCCAGGAGGCACATAAATAGTAGGCACTGAACCATTTGGGGACATCATTGGAACCTGAGCAGGACCTAAATGGGTTAAAAAAATAGTCTCAAATTATTAAATGGTGTGGTACTGGAAGTTCAAAGAACATACTGAACTGCAAAGTCTCTGTGAAAAATATACAAGATAACATGGATAAACAAAGGCAATGAACTGTACAGATAAAATTATAGCAAAGGGCACTCTTAGAAACATGAGACATTTAATAAAAACAGGAACAAAGTAAAAAGTAATTCTCCAGTAGCTATTTCTCCTTCCTTCTCTGTCAGCTCACTGAAGAACTTTTGGCAAAACTTCTTTGCATGTGACAAGTCAAAAGAAGTGTCCCAAAATGAAGAGGCAACTTTACTACAGAAACAACCAAGCAAACAAAAAATTAGAAACAAAATGTTAAAATCACATTAGTACGCAGTTAAGAGTTGTAAATAAAATTTTTTACTAAATTGCTGCTCTGTTACTATGGGCTCAACACCTAAAATGGCCTCAGTACCACAGGAATGGGAAGTGGCAAACAGGGCACCAACTTCAAATCTCAGGGGAAAGAAATCCAGTGTTTTACAAGCCACTGAGTCTACTCCTACAAATGGTAAGAAGTTGTGATATCACAGTGATCTTTGTACCAAGCAAGCCAGAAAGAACAGAATTCACAGATTCTTGGATAAATATGACACAGTGGAGGTGTGTTAAGGTGGCATTTGTAGATAAAGCACTGCCTGGAAAATCTGGTACCTTCAAAGAGCGCAGGGACAGTGTTACATGCTTGGGTTTTCAAAAAACTTTTGACAATCTTTCTCAAAGACTCTTTGAGAAGTAATGCTGCCTTGGGTTTAAAAGGGAAGAAAGCTTCTCATGAGTAACAACTAACTGGACCAAGGATAGGAAACAAAGATGAAAAGTAAGTGATCAGCTTTCAAAGTGGCTAGAGTGACCAAAGGAGTACCACGGGCACGCAAAAATAAATCTGTTCGATGCATTAACATTGCTGGAAAAGCAAATGAATGCTGAGGTGACAAATTCTTGGTGTGCACTCAGAGAGCTGCAAAGGATCTCAGAGCACTTAATGACTGGATGATAAAAATGAAGAAGAAATCGTGCTGCTATGTGCAAAGTAACGCACCTGGACAAAACCAACAGAACTATTTATTTATAGGGTTAAGCCACAAATTAGCTGGCAACAGATTATGGATTTACTACGTGTATTTCTAAGGAAAAGCCAACTGAGCTGTTTGGTGGGATTTGCAGACGGAAAGAGAACACAAGATCATCACTCACAGAACTGAGTACAGGCAGAACTTGTTACCCTAGGGTCTAACTTTACGCTGGCCCTCTTAACAGTGTTTATCAGGGAAGAATCAGGAGGCCAGGATTCTTCCACCTGAAGATGGAGGAAAGGTAAAAGGACAAGAAAGAGAGAAATAGTAAGAGACCTACAAAAATCACAACCTGCCCCAAGATAGGAGGATGGATCATTTACACTTTCTCATGTACAAGAACCAGAGGTACTAAATTAGATCATTGAATAAAAGGTTTAAAGCGGAAAAAGGAATTTCTGAGGAAACGCACAGCTAAGTTTTGTAACTCACTGCTTTAAGAGCACTGCAGAAATGAAAGGTTAGGTTCCCAAGCTATTCAACAAATTGAAGTAATTCACTAGGAGCTGTAAAAAAATAATAAAAAATTACTTTTGGTTCAGGAGGCTTGAAAGAAAAGTTATTTCTGTGCATTTGAACCGGTCCTTACGCTCTCCCCTTTAGTATTTGGTACTGGTCTCTATCAGAGCCAGAGCATTTGCATAGGCTACAAGAGGGACTGCATACAGATGTCCTTACATCCCCACATTTATCCAAAACAGGAACAATTCCTGGAGTTTAATTGTTAATGAGAAAATGAAACAGGATGTAATCTAACTAGGTTCTGTGGCATGATGATGAGATTGGAATACAAACACCCTTGGCTGCATTCTCTAAATTTCCAACTCAGTTTAGACTCTACCAAAAGCATCAGCCCAGCTCTTAGTGAACTTTCAACAATACTTCTTCTGAAAGGGTGTCCATAGTTCCACTTTAACATTTGATACACTGTGCTAAGGTCTGCAAAAGAAAAGTACAAAGCAAATGCAAGGTGCATTTTATTGCACTAGCACATCTCGTTCTGATAAGTGTGAACTTGACAGCAAAATAAAGGTAACTATTCCCAAACGCCAAGAGTGGGAAAAAAGGAACAAAAAGCATTCTATAAAAAATGAGGCATGTAATCAAGCTTGACTCCACGTGCTATGGGGACTCCTTCACAATAGGATAAAAAAGTTTTGGAACGTGTTACCTAAAAAGGATCACAGCTTTGTTCTTGATGAAGTGTTAACCCTCAACAGTGGGGAGAAAGGAGAATTTTTAAGAAGGAGGTCTTAATCGAAAGATTAACTGGAACATGTAAAAACCAAGTAATAAAAGCTCTACAGTAAGCTTTACATCGAGAACTGAACCTTCCTCAGCTTTCTGCCGAGGTGAAACTCAAAAATGTTTTGGTTAAAGTTTCCCCAAGTACACTGTGCTGAATCAAATGACAAGTGGTCAAACAAGCTAAGAAGTGCTTTAAAGCATTATCTTAAAATAAATTCCAAAAGGTCAACGGCAACGGAAGCGTATTTATTACAAGTTGTCCTTCAACCAAATAATGGTTTAAATTAATTCTTAAATAAGAGGATGGATTTTACACAGCTTGTATCTTGTACAGTGTACTTGTGGTTTTCATAATGAATACAAGAAACCAAAGCTTTCATTAAACTCACTGTTTTCAGTTATGTAAGTTTCAGGTAAATTGAGAATCAAGCCCACAATTCCTTCAACTTTCATATCAAACTCATGATGCTGGGAGGATGAAGGAACTCTGACACGAATAGCCTGTTTCTTTGTGAGCTGGTGGGTGTTTCTGTGCTTTGCTGCTGGTGGTGTTTTAGACTGTTAAATTTAGACAACATTCTTTGGGTGCTTAAAACAAAAAATAGGGTCCAGGTGAGTGAACCATGCTTCTTCCCAAAGAGAACTGAATGCTTTAACTTTCTGTCTGAACTAACGAAAAAGCAGCTATCTCCAACCCAGTGCAAAGGTTGATCCTCCAAGCCATTCTCGGGATAGATTCCTAATCTAGCAGTCACATGAAGGCAATATATGAACCTAAACGAATGTATCAACTTCGAATGGAGTCAAGTTAGCAGTTTGAAAACTGGCATCCTATCTTTAGCATTTTATGATTCCAGAAAAAATGAAAGTATTTTTAATATTCAAGATTACTTCTGATACATTTTTGATAAGATTTGCGAGTGACTGCAGAATGAGGTTAGAGAGAACAGAAAGCATGGGAACAGAAGTTGACAAAGTTTATGAAAAATTTTAATGGATATGGGGTCTTTGCAGCAAAGTTATTGGTTTCTTGGCAGAAAGCATATTGGCAGCTGTGAAACCATGAAGCAAACTTCCCTGTGTTTAAGGATAAAATGTTAACACGATATACGAGCAGAAATACATTTTTCCCCGTTCCTCTATTTGAAAACAAAAAATGTGAAGATCTTGGCTTTAAAGCAGGATTCTCAAGCTCTTAGGTATTGAGTGGACTGAAACAAGACAAGGCCAGTGTTTTACCATGAGAGTGGCTGGATAAAAAGCACCATTGGGGAGCAGCCTCTGGAAGTCCTGCTAGACAAATATCTCCTTTTCTCCACTGCACGTGAAGGGAATTTTCTTCCTCCAAGCCCCTACGTTGGAAACGTTGATGCTTTTAAGGGGAGATCTCACATCTTCTAACTTCCTTCAGGTAAACAAATCCTCTCGGTACAGAAAGGAAAAATACCGATAGTGGGAGGAAAAGAAAACACCAACAACGCACCACACAGCTGTTTTATGCTTTATTCCTGGGAAACGACTTAGCAAATACCACAAAGCTTTATTTAACCCGAGACGTTTCGGCGTACTTCCACCTCACCTGCCTGAAATCTGCCATCTCACTGCTACGAAAGGTAAACATGAGTAAGGGTGGAAAAGGCAAAAGCTGTCAATACGTGTGTTTTAACGACCTTTTTGCGTTACGATTTTTTTAAAAAACCCACGATGAGAACCGAGACCCCTCACACAGACCCCGCAAACCCTCGTGGAGGGGTGGAAAGCAGAGGGGCACCGAGGGCTCCCCCCGCCCCGGGCTGCGTGGAGCCTCTCGGGGCCGGCTCCACGGCTCGGGGCTCCCCTCAGCGCCCGGCTCGGGAGCCCGACGACATTTGCAGGGCCGCAGCCGGCGGTGCCCTTCCGGGGCACGGCGCTCGGAATGGCCGCCGCTGCCTGGAGCCCCCCCCACCTCCCGGCCGCCCTGAGCGGCGAGGGGAGCCCAGCGCGGCCCCGCACCGCCTCCCCCTTCCCTCGGGTCACCCCTTACCGCTCATTTCGGGCCGAGCCGAGCCGGGCCGGGCTGGCGGCTGCTCCCCGGCGCGCCGCGGCGGGCGGGCGGGGCGGCGGGCGGGGCGGCTCGGCACGGCTCGGCTCGGCTCAGGTGCGCCGCGGCCTGCGGCAGCCCGGGGAAGGGATTTTTGTCCCTCTCCCGGGTTTACTTCAGGGTTGTAGCAGCCACCGGGCCGTCCCCTGTCACCTTAACGAGCAGTCGGGGTCACTGCTGGGGCTAAAGCCTTCTGTGGGGTTTACCTGTCACCTCAGGAAAGGGGGCGCAAAAAGGGCGCCCCGAACAAATATTCCAAATAAATGCTTTTTCCTCAGAAAGACGCAGCTTTCTGGTACCGATTTGTGCTTCGAGACCGATCCGTGCGGATGGTGCAGCTCGCCAAGGCGGCTATACTTAGCGCGAGCGGCGATGAATCACCGCCGGCCCCGGGAGGCGAGCGGCGTTGAGGATTGACTGCGGCACATTAGGTTAACGGTGTCTCCACAACCCAACACCCACACTTTGACATCACGCCGCCGACGATAGGCATCGCTGACGCAAGCGCTGCCAGGCTGGAATACAAAGGCCAGGGCAGCTGCAGCAAGCTGACGTCGCGGCACGGCCGGCCACGCTGTGCTCAATCAATAGTCCCAGATGCCACCAAGAGTTGTGCCGCTCTCGCTCTGACATAACGGCCAAGGCTCCGAAGTTTTATTTCGGGCTCCCAGCAGCTAGATAATGACAAGAATAAAGCCGGTTATCGACAACAAACGAGTGGTCTCTGTTTGGCTTGGGAGCTGTGCAGGGAAAATAGTTCCGGATTAGTACTTCAGGTTACTTCAAGTGTCACAAGGAATTGGGTGCTTTGCTTTTAGTAGGTGCAGTGCAATCAAAGCGAGTAATAACAAAAGAGAAAAGCAAACCCAAAGCTTACTGCTAGGCCTGGGCTGGGGAAGAGGTGCAAGAAGGAACCGGGAGCACCACAAGGACAGGGGCGGCCAGAAGACTTAAGTTTTCAATTTAACACATTCCTGATGCTCTAAATTCATCCTGACCAAACAGTCCCTTCCCCCACCCATCTGTCTACTTTTGTCATCAAGGCTGGGGAACAGCCGCTGACAAAGCAGGAACAGCGATTTAAATATATTAATTGGCTACTAAACTCTATCAGTGGGCTGGAAAACGCGTGGAAAAACAAGGTGAAATGTTCATGTCATTTTGTTCAAAAGCAGGGGAAAAAACATCAGTTTCATGCATGCAGACTTTGGAATAATGGATAAGAGCTGAAAGCCATAAAGCCTAACTACAGTATTTCGACAGATTCCATCCTAATGAGATCCTGATCTTTCCCATGAAACCATACATATGTATTCAGAAAAAAAGGACACAAAATCCCTTCTCACAGGCAAACGTGCGGAGATGACAGATTCCCATAGCACTTCATCATTAATACAGCTATCAGTTTTCTTCTATAATGGCCTCACATATATTCAAAGGACAAAGGTAACAATGGTTTCTGTGTTCACATATTAAACGTGCCTTCATTCCAGCTGTATCTAAACAATGACCGCTGTGCAATTTTGTGATTAAAAAAAAAAAAAAAAAAGATTGCAAACTCATGCCTTTGAATGGTGCAAACTTCTCATCAGGAACTGACACGTGGGAGCTTGCAGAAGGATGATTTTAGTCTTTCCAGATACTCCAATAATAGAAAGTTTTTATATGTGCTTTGTGAAGCTATGGAGGAGCTCAGCAATCAACTCCATCCTACTTCTGTTCAAGAAATAAGTAGCAATGAATCAAAGATGCTAAAGTGGAAATACAATACAGATTTTTACTGTGCAGCCTAGATTATTAAATTGTTCAGCTTGCTTTGCTGTTTTAGGTTTAGACTAAGGGCAATTACTTAATAACTGTAGAAGAGCTATGTCAAAAAATTATGTTCTCTCTCCCTTGTAGTCTTCCAATTTAAATATCAGGTGAACCGTAAGTCATTGCATTTCAAAGGGAGTCAAATGTGATACACCATCCTTAACACACAGAAGCTTTGATTAAAATGTTTTTATTCTTAGCAGTAAGAATAATTTGCACGTACTGCACGGCGTATTTGCTCAGCTTTTTCTCAAAGAGAGTAATTTCCTAGCATTTATGCTGCTGAGCAATATTGATCTGCAACTTCTTCAGACTAATATTTAATATCTGTACATAATGCTTAGTCATTTTCCATTTGATTCACATGACTCAGGATAAACTACAATTTAATCATCTAACAGTAGTTACCGCTAGAATTTGTGCATTTTTGATCATTTTTAAGCTGTTTGCACTGCAGACCAGTAAGTAACAACAAAGTTAAGCTCTACTATTGATAACTGGTTGTAGCTAAGAGGTGAACAGCACAAGTGAGTCTCAACAGCCAGCAGTTGCTGGCTTGCAGACAGCAGCTTCTAGAAAAGAGCACTTTGGTTTGCAGAAGAGAGATTGTGGAAGGCACAGGCATTGACTTCAACTTCTTTTCCTCTCAGGCTGGTTGTGCCAAAAATTAAATTATGTAGTGTAATTACTTGTAAAGGCCTTTTTGGCACCATTATATTCAAGTTATTACACTAATGGGTTATTTTTTCTGTACATACTTACCTGGCTACGCTGATTTCGAACTAGAGGGCAAAATTATCTGGCATATTCTGCTGCTTCAGAAGGGGAACTCAGAGAAGCCCCTTCTCCTTTGCATGAAGTTCTTAATATTCCCAATACCAAGTTACATGTGTGTATATACGTGCATATCATGTGTGTATATATATTTACAAGATGCATCTGCATATATATAGTGAGTGCCTAAGAAATTCAACATCATACGTACAAATGCTGAGCCATTTTTACCAAATTCCAGAGTAGAGTATTTCAAAACAATGGATGCAAATATATGAAAGAATCTGCAGATATGATCAAATTGTTTGTGCAACCTGTGCTTACTAGAATACATACGCTGACAGAAACTTAAGCAAGAAATCAACACCAGAAAAGGCTGCCAAAAGAATATTCAGTGCCCAGCTCAAACTTTGATTTCTATCCAAGACAGACAACTCTAAAGACATATTTTTGGAGGCTCTGGAATCTACTAACACTGTGCACTTTCATTTGAGAACCTCTGAATTGTTTAGGCTTCAAGGAAATTACTAGACGAACACAGTGGATATTCAGGTGTTCTATTTAAAACAAAACCCAGCAGAACAAAAACTGTGACGATAACACACTTCTAACATCTGAAATTCTTCTAGTATCAAAACCAAATCCCACACACGCCTTTCTGTAAAGGGACCAGTCTGGGAGTGTTCATTCCTAACTGAAACAGACTAAAACTAAGTTAGCAGGACATCGGATATCTCAGCTTCCCATCAGGGCAAAGAAGAGACAATCCAGTGATCCATTATTCTGCAGGATTTAGCAGAAAGAGGGCAAACCAGGGAAATCCAGAATGACATTGGCTTCACAGCTACAGTTCTTACAAAAGGTAAGAAATTGATGGTAACCATGCTGATTTGAAAAACAGAATGAAACAACAGTTCCCACTGAAATTTTGCTCTCAAATGTAAATCTTGCATTAGCTAAGTGAGTTTGCTGCTCTGGTCAGATGAAAAGGTCTTCTGTAAAACAATGCAAAAAAATGTAAATTGAGTTCAATCCTACAAAGGCTTCCTTTCTCCTCACACTCACCACATAAAATTATTTTTATGCCTAAATCAGAGGTGCTTACTTGACTCCACCAACATAAAGATTCTACCAATAATCCAGTTCCAGAAGAAAACATTCAGATACAGGCTTCTGAACTCTGAAATAAATTCTGAAATAACATTTTATTACATAGTTCTGTCTAAAACCATGAGGGAAGAAAACACTCCCTGAAGCTGACAATTTGAAAGGAGACATTTGGTAATGCAAAGTCCTTCTGTCACGGTACAAACTGTAGGGAACAAGCCTCAAGCAGACAAATTGCACAATAATGGCATATGACAAAAAAAAGAGACATAAGACCGAGCTGAAAACATCTGATGTTACACACCTTACTCTTTGCAACATTTACAGCAAACATTTGGCTTCAGCAGGGTGACTCACTGGCTGCCTTGGAGGACGACTCTGTGCTTTTGCACATTTCTCAGGGAGCCACCTCATAGCAAACGACACAAATCATTAAGCACGGAGCAGATACTTGGTTCAGCAGAGTCTATCAAGTTTTCTGAGAGGAGATTCCTACTGTCAGGAAAAAAAAGAAAAAAAAAAAGGTCTTCCTGCTCAGTTAGTCAGTGAGCTGATTTCTGTGCTGTGTGCTAACCCCCAGCTTGTCCCAGACTGGGAGAGTGCCAAGGACACCAGACCACGGAGCAACCTGCCTTGCAAACACTGTCACCTCTGCTGAAGACGGGCCACTAGGAAACCAAAGTGCAGCACACGAAGCTCCTGTCCATGCTATGGGCACAGTGAGCTCCTCTGATCGAGTTGCTAGATGGAAAATACAAAGCCAGCCTTTGGAAGGGGAACAAGAACCCAGAACTTCACCCGAATGTACAGGAATCCCTATGGAAACCCCATTACACCGATCTAGAAAGGCAGACTGCCTTCATAAGTGGTTTCCCTCTAGAACCCTTTTTTTGGGGGGTGGGGGTGAAGATGCCCATTTCCAAAAGACACGGAGAGAAGCCTAAACTCAGGCCATGCCATAGCCTAATGGTCAGGGGACTCTGCTGGAATTGGGAGCTACAGGTTCAGGTTCTGCTGTGGGGATAAAAACCTCAGATCTCTATTCTGCGTGCGTGCTTTAACCAATTTAATGCTTGTACTGTTTGCATTTTAGGATAAACCAAAATACAGTGGATACTTCGAGATACAGCTTGAGCAAACAAGTAACCTATCTTGCCTTTTGGAGAGAGGCAACCTTTACATACTGTCTGTATATTGTCTCTGCTCCAGTAGGTCTTTGATAGCTGGTTTCTGCCTGTCCCCCTGCGGCCTCACGTTTTGTACAATTACAAGGCCATAGGGAATTCCGTGGTCAAAACAGAAGCAACGGACTCCACGTGCTTCCTGGGATTAGGTCGTGATTCAGTGGGTGACCTGTGCTCCCCTGGGACCTCTGCAGTGAAAAACTTCTTAAATTAATACTAATATAGAACCCAAACACCCTGAACATACCCTCTTATGATAACAGTCACTCATACTTTTGTCCATCTCTTCAACAATAAAAAGACAAAGCTATGAATACAGATACAATGGGGGATGCTCTGAAAAGAGTGGAAATAACTCAAAAACTACAGATCTTGAAAATTCTTTTTAACACAGTAGGTGACATAGTATTTAAACATTCAGATTAAGACTTCTGATTTTGCCGATGACTTAAGGTCAACAGGCAAGAACTTCCATCTTCAAAAGGCTTTGCAGAAATTCGGTCCCAAATTAAATAACCCCAATTCAGGGTACATATTAAAAAACCACTGATGTTCTCAAGTTAGACTTGGTAACACAGAATGGCACTATGCTTTCTACCAGCACCTGTGGCCTCTACTGCAGCGAAATGTTTCTATTATTTCTTAAGATCACAGCATACCTCAACTAGTTGCCACTGCAAACCTTACATTTTACTGTTGATAGTGACAATGAAGTGTATGTAGGGTCTGGTTTAGTTAATAAAAAATCATCACAGGCTAACTAATGAAGTCATTTTTATCCTTTAAACTTGTTTTAGCATTTGAAATCTACAATGTGACAAAGGCCCCTTCATT